GAGGACTGGCCCCAGTACCGAGCCCTGGGGGACGCCACTAGTGACCGGCCTCCAACTCAATTTAACTCCAGACCTATCTAGGTCTAGACCTTTATGTTTACTTCTAAACCTATTTCCTTCTAAATAGTATATAAATTGCGCTACTGTAATTGCATCTTCTTATATCTTTCCTTTCCCTAAATAAACAAATGATATGTTCCATATCATAGAAGGGCACCTCACATTTAATGAGGAAAAGTTGTATTTTATATACTTATCCATACTGGATGAACTAGTTATTAGTGACTAAGATAACTTTTTACGTTTCTGAGTGACATCAGAAAACTACTTATTTTGTTGCTAATAAAAACTTTTGCTTATAAAAAGAGGATTGAAAAATTTAGGAGAGAATAATAGGATAACTGTAAAAGTACATATATCAAGATATTGATTCTGTATTTGAATTGTGCACCTAACCTCCCTTCTCTCCTTCTTTGGCATGGCTCACATTGTGCGTCTAACACCTGCAAGAGAAATCTGCTGGAGGAATGAGTTGTGTTTCTTGGTGCTTCTCTTGCTCTGTAACTGAAAAGGATTTTTTCAAGGAGTATATTATTAATGATAATATGACCTTTAAAATGCAATTTTCAGAAGCTTTTTATATTATCTATATAGATAACGATATATTCCTAGATAACAGCTTGCTTGAATGTTTTGGTTGCAGCTCCATAGCGATGGCATAGTGTTTGTTGTCTTTCATGTCTGATTCAGCTTAAAAGTAAATAAGAAATCAGGAAAATTCAGGGCACTGATTTCAGTTTATAAATAAATTTCTGATATATTCAGCTACTATCTAAGCTTTTTCTGAGCCCTATTAAAATAATAATCAGGTATAGACATGACTTTTCTTCTATTATTCCAGTGATATGTTATATAAAAGTATTATAAGTAGAATATAACAATACATTTTTTACTGAGTCATTTTCAAATGAAGTCACAAAATAATTTGTTTAAATCATTATTGTTTTATTATAGTGCCTATGGGTCATGGGTTAGGACTGATTATTCAAAGCATTTTACTGACAATGAACAGTAACAACAAAAATATTTTCTGCAAACTCAAATTTTTAGATTCTGTTATGTGTCTGTGGAATTCTTTTTCAAAGGATATGCTATTTTGCCTATTTAGAACTTGGAATATAAAATAGGAAAGGATGACAAATTCGTATTTAGGCAGTTTTGATACCCTGTTCACCTTTTTCAGTAACTGCAGGATGATTAGCATTGTACCAAGCCTCCTTCCAGCAAGTCACAATGTATTTTATTAATTTAAATATAGTTCTTAAGTATAGCACACCATGAAACCTCTTCCCTGTTTAACCTAATCCATTCTGTGCTTCATAGTTGCTCAAAGGAAACAACTAACTCTCTACAGTTCTTTTCCAAAATAGTTCTCTCAGGCTGTTATGTAAATCTACTTTCCTACCTTGGACTGGTCATCCTAGTTCTGCTTTCTGACACGTTAAGTAACACATCCTCAACCTGTTAAATGTTCGAGACAGTGAAATATAGCCTATTATTAATCTCTTTGAACACCTGTTTCGAATATGTGCAGGTTTGCAGGAAAGCCTTTATTTTTGCATTTGCTCTTGATTTAGTAGGTCCAAGAAAAAGGAAAAGGGCAAAGGATAGATGAAGATTTCCTCCAAAGCTGCACGTCTTGCTATATAGCCCAATAAGGCAAGGTATTTGTATGAACCACAGCTGAAGATTACAAGTCATCAGGGTCTGAACCTGTAAATGACTCATGACTTTTGTTGACTGGATTAAATAATTGTTTTTGCTATAAGCAAGAGCTACATTCCTAAGAAATTAATCACTTTGGATTTGTAGTCCTCTCAAGACAAGAGAGACATATTCTTTGTTGTGATTGTGTTTTTTTTGTACAGACTTCCATTCAGCTCCCAAACTGTTTGGATTTCATACTATTGCTGTCAATTATGCAGTCTATGTAAATTATACCATCCAGACCAGGCTGAATCATCAAGCACAGTGATATTAATTACTGACAGGCCAAACACTGTATCACAGAATCACAGAATCACAGAATTTCTAGGTTGGAAGAGACCTCAAGATCATCGAGTCCAACCTCTAACCTAACACTAACAGTCCCCACTAAACCATATCCCTAAGCTCTACATCTAAACGTCTTTTGAAGACCTCCAGGGATGGTGACTCGACCACCTCCCTGGGCAGCCTGTTCCAATGCCTCACAACCCTCTCAGTAAAGAAGCTCTTCCTAACATCTAACCTAAAACTCCCCTGGCGCAACTTTAGCCCATTCCCCCTCGTCCTGTCACCAGGCACGTGGGAGAACAGGCCAACCCCCACCTCTCTACAGCCTCCTTTAAGGTATCTGTAGAGAGCGATAAGGTCGCCCCCGAGCCTCCTCTTCTCCAGGCTGAACAAGCCCAGCTCCTTCAGCCGCTCCTCGTAGGACTTGTTCTCCAGGCCCCTCACCAGCTTCGTCGCCCTTCTTTGGACCCGCTCAAGCACCTCGATGTCCTTCTTGTAGCGAGGGGCCCAAAACTGAACACAGTACTCGAGGTGCGGCCTCACCAGAGCTGAGTACAGGGGGACGATCACCTCCCTAGCCCTGCTGGTCACGCTGTTTCTGATACAAGCCAGGATGCCGTTGGCCTTCTTGGCCACCTGAGCACACTGCTGGCTCATATTCAGCCGACTGTCCACCATCACTCCCAGGTCCTTCTCTGCCTGGCAGCTCTCCAACCACTCATCTCCCAGCCTATAGCTCTGCTTGGGGTTATTGCGCCCCAGGTGCAGGATTGTAACCACAGTCCTTTTCACATAGGTTTGGGAAATCCTGTTACAAAACAGAAATTATTTGCTAAGATGTATTTTTCCATATGAGAGAAATTCTTTAAATGGGCATCTTTAAATGGGCATCTTTAAATGGGCTAGTCCACACAAACCATTGATATGAAAAAAACCTTGCCTACTGCATCTCAATCATATGGCTTTCTTCTGTGGATTTAAGATCATGTCCTGATTTTGGCTAGGATAGAGGTAATTTTCCTCCTAGTAGCTGGTATGGTGCTGTGTTTTAGATTTAGGATGAGAATAATGTTGATAACACACTAATGTTTTAATTGTTGCAGAGCAGTGCTTACACTAAGCCAAGGACTTTTCAGCTTCTCACTCTGTCCTACCAGTGGGAAGGCTGGGGGTGCAGCAGGAGCTGGGAGGGGACAGACCCAGGACAGCTGACCCAAACTGGCCAAAGGGGTATTCCATACCATCTGACGTCATGCTGAACAATTAATATGGGGCTGGCTAGGGTGGGGAGACTGGCTGCTTGGGGATAGGCTGGGCATCGGTCAGTGGGTGGTGAGCAATTGCATTGTGCTTCTCTTGCTTTGTACATATTATTAGTAGTACAATTATTATCATTATTGTTATTGTTTTCCTTTCATTTCTGTCCTAATAAACTGTTTTATCTCAACCCACAGGCTTTCATTGTTTTCTGATTCTCTCCCCCTATCCCAGAGAGGGAGGGGGGCGGGTGAGCGAACGGCTTTGTGGTGCTTAGCTGCCAGCTGGGTTAAACCATAACAGATCAGAAGAAGAAATTATTTTGAAATAGACTGAGCATGTCTCCCTCATAAATCTTTCTTTTAGGTTAGAAAGCTAGCTTGGAAAAATTACATAGACAGTATCAAAAGGAATATAAAAATTGGAACTTTTTTCCAAGCTTGCTCCAGCATTGACTGTAACCACTGTTGTAAGATTCCAAAAGGTTGGTGTATGTATGGAGAGAATATGGAAACAGACCTATTTGCTGGCCCAGCTGGCCATAATTTCAGAGCTCAAGGATAATAATTTAAAAATATATATATCTGAATATATTGCTATATCATTTTGTCATAAGTAGTGAACAAGTACTTGGGGCATTGTTCTTTGGGAAGAATACAAAGCCAAAAGAATACATAATTGAGTTTGAGAACAAATATACGATCTTCTCCAAAAGTAAAACAAATCTTTCTGTTTCACGAATACTTTAGTTTGTGCTTAGTACATTTCTTGTTATTTGCTGTGAGATGGTAGAGCCTCTTCATGATTTGTCCAGACATTCAGGATGGGTGAATATGATGTTCCAGAAGAAAATATACTTTCTTAGAAGTTGCAGACTTGGGTTCTAATAATAGAGAACGTATGTTCTCCCTATCTCTAGGACACACATTTTTCACGTTGAACTTGGAGTTCTTGATTTCTGCTCGAGTAAACTAGTTGCAGGTATAAAGTTTTGTTAAGTAAGGAGTAGTAGCATCATTCTCCCAGGCCATCTAAAAAGGGGGGTGAGGGGTTGTATGTTTGTTAGCAGGATAAATTTCTTTAATAAGAACAACTCCTTATTTGAAGAGATTACTTTGTACTGTAAATTATGAACATTTTAAAAAAGTAACTGGTAATCATTTCTAAGAATCTAGCTTTTCTTTTTTAATGGTAACTTCTGTTATGTTTGTGGTAACATTAAAACTTTTTTTTTTTTTTAATGAATCTATTTCAAAGGCAAATATCCTCCTCCCCATTCTCTGTACTTCCATCAGTTTAACTCTGCCAAGCTAACATCCTTAAAAAGCAGATATTTTATATGCACTAAAATCATATCTGCAAAATGAAAGCTTTCTTTAAAATTAGCTTAAATATAATTTTTACTGTGAACGTTTTATTAATTTCAGCTAAATAGTATTGGATTAGGATAAGCTTATTGTGAAATAAGGGCCCATATATGCATTCATTAATTCTCCTTTTTGCGTAATATCATCCCTATTACTATTTTTCTTAGTTTGAACATATCTTATCATCATTCATTCATAACCTCACATTGGTGAGATGGCCAGTCTGAAAAATTATTCTTGTTAGTCTTTTTCACTGCACATGAACTCTTTGTAAACATAGAAAATGAAGTAAATTTTATTGTTTTCTTTGTTTCAAATTAGGTTCATGCACAGTTAGTTCGAGAAGTCGATGTAGAAAAGGTGTCAACTTTTGGGAACCCCTATGTAGATGCAATAAGAAGTTTATGGAATGACCCTGGAATTCAGGAATGTTATGACAGACGACGGGAATATCAGTTATCAGATTCAACTAAGTAGTAAGTATATAGTGGCTACAACTCTTTTATTTTCTGTTTTTTTCCTAACAAAGCAATTCTTTTTATTAAAATTTTTTATATACATGTCTGTATGGTGTTTTTGTGTGTGTGCATGCATATGTGGCAGAAACATGCGCTTAATAACTTGAACGTAAAGGCTACTTTAAGGATGGTAGTGTATCTAGTATGAGTATGTTTGTTTCCCAAAACATAAGCCTATGATCATTTGAAATCTTACAGTAAGTTTATTACTAGGGAGAGTTAATTGGTGTTAATTGCTGATGTTTTTTCTTGTTCTTTTGTTAGTTCTGTTCAAGCACTTACTCTCCTCTGACATAAGCTCACAGATGCAAGCTGGGCAAAAGTACTTTCATGGAGTATAATGACAGCAGTGAACACTGGGAAATGCAACCAAGGGAAGCCCTCCATGCAATTCATACAAATTATAATGCCCTAGAACTTCTGTTTTATATTTTATTTTCTTCCCCTTTCCTTTCTTTCCCCTTTCTTTTGCAGTCCTGGTGATGAGGTAAATAGTACCAAGCAAGTATTCTTGTCTTGTACAATTACATCTTCTATACAAACAAGGCCTAATCTTGAAAGAACATGGCTGCTAAGAAGGCAAACATATAACATATAACAAACATATAAGATTTCAATTTGTAAAGTGTTTTTTTTAAAGCATTTAAGTTAAATCCTATTTGTTATAGATCAACTATATATGCGACTAAACCTGGTCTTGAATGCTATGTATCTAATCTCTTGTGGCCAAATTCTGATAAAATAGCAATGTGGAATTTAACATTGCACCCTGAGGACTGCCTAAAGATTGGCTCCAAGAAATTCAGTTGCCCTGAGGAATGTAGTATGTAGATCTATTGAATTTTTTTGTCTGTTGCCCGGCGGGGGGGGGGGGCTGAAAAACAATGGAAGGAGAGGATGAGGATGAGAGGATGACCTTTTGGTGTTGCTCATTATTTTAAGTTACCTTATTTGGTTATTAGAACTGTGGCAAAAGCTTAAAATTTTGCTGATGCGATTTAGGCAGCTAGAAAGCTACTGGTACATGAATTAGGTCTGCTCATATTTGCTCTGATACTCTATTATCACAAAGCATTCTGATTTATAAACACCATACACAGGGTTCATGTTTTCCCCTGCAATCTTCTGTCCTATAGAGCTAGTTGCCTTCCCAATATATCATTTTTATTATTTGCATGTGCATATTTCATTGCAGTGGTGCAAAGTACAGTAAAAATTCTCTTGTATTGCATGGGTTCTCAGTGTCCCCAAATATACAATATTGTATTTTCAGTGGTAAGAAAGCTAATAATCATAGGACGTTCCATATAAGAGACAGATAATCTTTAGGGTACATAAGCAGTAAAAGAAAATTCTAAGAGACTAATTAGGCTGACAATATACTTTCAGATTGTGTTCATTTAGAAATGAACAGCAAATGTAAGTAGAAGTTGAAACAGAATTTTTCTTATACTTTGAATTTGTTATAGTTGTAGGTCCTAACTTCTATTTCAATTTTGAAAACAGTATCACATCTATTGTGGAATCAATCCATATATTTTAATGGCTGCCTTAGAGGACTAGAATTAGTAAGTCTCTAAAGTAGGAAATAAGCATCTAATGCTAATTGTCAGAGTCCAATACTCTCTGAATAGGTTCTTTTAGATATTCCATGCATGAAGGGTGTAACGTTTAATATCAAATTTACTTATTTGAAGATAGTTGCTGTTATTTGGGATTTCTGATTTAGCAGAGTGATATAAAGTATACTGAAATCACAATACAAATGTAAATTATACTTAGCAAAATATAACAATTGCAATACATACAGTGCTGCCACTCCATAATATTACTGTATTCCCTGGTGAATGGTGAATTTCTTTAAATCCCTGGTTTCATAGAATCATGGAATCACTAAGGTTGGAAAAGACCTCTAAGATCATCTATTCCAAATATCCCCCTACCACCAATATTGTCCACTAAAATATGTCCCTAATAAAATAACAATAACAATAACAATAACAATAACAATAACAATAACAATAACAATAACAATAACAATAACATGTCCCCAATAAAAAATACTTCTATAAATACATTAGTAACAAAAGGAGGACTAAGGAGAATCTCCATCCTTTATTGGCTGCGGGGGGAAACAGAGAGACAAGGGATGAGGAAAAGGCTGAGGTGCTTAATGCCTTCTTTGCCTCTGCCTTAGCAAGACCAATTATTCTTCGGGTACCCAGCCCACTGAGCTGGAAGACAGAGACAGGGAGAAGAATGAAGCCCTTATAATCCAGGGGGAAATGGTTAGTGACCTACTACACCACTTAGACACACACAGATCTATGGGGTACATCAAAGGGTGCTGAAGGAGCTAGCCAAAGTGCTCAACAAGCCACTTTCAATAATTTATCAGCAGTCCTGGCTGTCCAGGGAGGTCCCAGTTGAATGGAGGTTGGTGAATGCGACACCCATCTACAAGAAGGGCAGGAAGGAGGATCTGGGGAATTACAGGCCTGTCAGTCTGACTTCGGTGACAGGGAAGGTCATGGAGCATCAATGCCATTTACTGGCACACACAGCATAACCAGGTGATCAGACTCAATCAGCATGCTTTTATGAAATGCAAATCCTGCTTGACTAACCAATGCACAGCCTATCCCCGAGCAGCTGGTTCCCCCACCCATTGCCACCCCCTCATATTAATTGCTCAGCATGACGTCAGATGGCATGGAATACCCCTTTGGCCAGTTTGGGTCAGCTGTCCTGGGTCTGTCCCCTCCCAGCTCCTGATGCACACCCAGCCTGCCTGTTTGCAGGACAGTGTGAGAAGCTGAAAAGTCCTCGGCTTAGTGTAAGCGCTGTTCTGCAACAATTAAAACATCAGTTTGCTATCAACATTATTCTCATCCTAAATCCCAAACATGGCACCCTACCAGCTACTAGGGGGAAAATTACTTTTATCCTAGCTGAAACTAGGAAAATATCTACCCCTTATTCCAAACCATTTATGTCATGCTCAGGTTACACACTTTCCAATACATTCTAATTAATCACCACCTTCATAGATGTATATAAAATGTCCACTAAATTTAGTCTGTGACTGACTTTGAGCTCCATCTGTCCCAGCAGTATTTCAGGGCAGAAGAGATGGTGTGTGATGTTGGATCGTCACACGTTGAAACCTGTTCTCATTCCATCATACCTCTGTGCTTGTCCAGTTCTATTAACATTCATTCATTGTTATTTGCCAGACAGTTACTGTGATACCATTAATGGGACATTATCATATAGCAATCACAATGGTGATGACATACAGTATTATATAATAATTAACATGATACAATTCAACTCATGAGCTATTCTCACCCAGTATTAAATCCCCTTGAGGTACACACCGGGCCTCCCCATCCTTTTGCATTACCCACCAAGTGCATCCAGGTCCCTGCGCAAAAGCAATCCCATGAATGGGATGCCTTTTCCTGAGGCAGGAATAGCCCAGACTGTCTTCCCCAGCATGTTTCTTACATGCACTACAGGGACTTTGTCCCCTTCTACAGGATGTAACAGGTTTGACTGCGGAGGTCCAGTTTGGCTGGCAGATCCCCTAGTGTTGACTAACCAGGTGGCCTTTGCCAAATGTGTATCCCAGTGTTTGAATGTCCCAGCACCCATTGCCTTCAGTGTAGTCTTTAACAATTCATTATATCGTTCAACTTTCCCGGAGGCTGGTGCATGATAGGGGATATGATATACCCACTCAAAATCATGCTTTTCGGCCCAAGTGTCTACGAGGTTGTTTTGGAAATGCGTCCCATTGTCTGACAGTGATTTCAGGGGGGGCATGTTGCCATAGGACTTGCTTTTCAAGGCCCAAGATAGTGTTCTGGGCAGTGGCATGGGGCACAGGATGTTTCCAGCCAACTGATGCTTTCCTGCAATACGACAGGACCCATCAGAATCCTGGAACAGGGCACATTGCTTCTCATTTTCTGGTAGCTTGTTATACATTGCGGCTTCTTCAGCACAGGCCACCTCCTCCTCTGGCGATATCCCCAAATATTTGCCTTCTGGCCAGTCCACAACTACTTCCAGGATTCCTGGGCGACTAGAGTTTCTATTTGAGCCCGCTGAGTAATCAGTGCAACCCACTTGCTCCATGTAGCATCAGTTGCATGGTGTGTAAAGGGGGTCCTTCGTTTTAACACCCAGCCCAGTACCGGCAGTCGGGGTGCCAGGAAGAGCTGTGCTTCAGTTCCAACCACTTCCAAAGCAGATCAAACTACTTCATATGCTGCCAATATATCTTTTTCAGTTGGAGTGTACAGGGCCTCAGATCCTCTCTATTCCTGACTCCAAAACCCAAGGGGTCGACCTCGAGTTTCCCCAGGTTCTTTCTGCCAGTGGTTCCAGGTGGGGCCATTCTCCCTGGCTGCAGTGTAGAGCACATTCTTTACATCTGGTCCTGTTCGGACTGGCCCAAGGGCTACTGCATGGACTGTCTCCTGTTTAATTTGTTCAAAGGCTTGTCATTGCTCAGGGCCCCATTCAAAATCATTCTTCTTACGGGTTACTTGGTAGAGAGGGTTTACAATCAGACTGTAAATTGGAATGTGCGTTCTCCAAAACCCCACAACACCTAGGAAAGTTTGTGTTTCTTTTTTGCTAGTTGGTGGAGACATAGCTGTTATTTTGTTGATCACATCCATTGGGATTTGACGACTTATACTTTTGTGGGTCTGACGTGCCAGGCCACTGAATCCACACAGTCCAATAAACACGACTGTCCTTTTCCTTCCCCTGGCTGGAGGCAGGGCCCCTCTAATCCTGGTCATATATTCATTACTGTGTCTTGGGGACTTCCTGCTGGATATTGGAGCATCAATTTTCTCAAAGATTCACCCTTTTGCAGTTGTTTTTCCTTGCAACTCAACAATTAAAACATCAGTGTGATATCAGCATTATGTTCATCCTAA